TCTGCAGCACATTTCAGAGCAGTCTCCGAAAATACTGTCTCTGTCTTGTGCAGTTAATTCCAAGCTCTGTTTAGACCATATGTGTGTATGATCTAAGCGTCTAAGCCTTGCAGCGCTTGGAGTACGATAATGGTTAACTTTTATTAGAATTTTGCCTTTGTTATTCTTAGCGTTCCATTTTTCTGTCTAGCTTCAACTCCTGCACGTTTTCCTTCCTCCCTAAGCAAGCACCTGTGTCCTCACATTTTACTGCGCACTCAATCCGCAGTGAATCCTATCTTAGCATTAAATTGTTAGTCGATCAGAGTAAAGCAATATTTATCCCCATCTTCGACTGTTTAGCAAGCTGCTGCGGTTCAGAGTTGGAGCTACATAGTATGTACTTTACTGTAGAGATAGTATTTATTACTAAATAGTGAGGCACACCAAATACAGTACAAAAAGACAGTAAAGCCAAGTACAATAATTCCTGTAATTGTGTGTGTGTGTGCACGCCGAAATCATAAATCGTGTTCATTATATTATAATGCCGTGTTGTTATTCTCCCGTTCGCTGGTCGAACGTTACGAATCTTCTTCCGCATTTGTTCGTTTCGTTCGACTAGCGTCTAACACCCGTAGTTCAGCAGTCGGAAAGGATATGCAAATGTCCTTTAGATTCCTCTAATTGAGGAATCGTTAACTTTCCGCGTTTGTATATTCGGAAATTCCTCTCGCAACCTTCGCACTGTTACATTCACATTTCCGCATTCGACTAAAAATCGCAACTATGCTCCTGGAAACCAGAAGCTCCTATATGTATAACCATGCTCCTTTAACCTGGAGGTTGAAGAATTTTAAAACTTTTACCTGATGACACATCTAACTTGGACCGATGCTTTTTATTGTTAATCTTCACTGTAAACGGTTCAATCAATAATTAAAACAGCTGCCACGGCTAAACTACATACTATTTCGGCTCCAAAAAATTAGTAAATATTCTTCGGACATTCTAAAATAAGGATGAACAGCATTTTTCTTAAAAATATCACTGTTAATAAAAGAATTCGGAAAGTTCACGCTCCGTAACTTCTTCATTGCTTCGAACGTAGCCTGAAGCCGTCACGCTCTACGGGCGAAACCGCGTGCCGCTCGCTCGCTCGACCATCTTGCAGTTCGCGCGCTCGCCTCTCATTGGTCACTGTTTTTCGTTAATAACTCGTAAACAAAACCGAGGATTGCATTTTCGCTAGGGAAAAAGTTACTTCAAATGACCTCAGAAACAATAATTTATATAATCTATCATTATTGCTTCCAGAAAGTGATGCTACATGAAAATAAGTGTACATATATTATTTTTATAAGATATCCATTAAAGAACCATTTAATAAATTTTGCTAGGGTAAGCCATCGTGTTTCTAGGAATTGTATATTTTTTAACTATGTAATACTAGAAATCTAAAATACATAAGTCATAGCATTAAGATATACATGTTAATATAAATTGCATCTTCAATAAATAAACACATTACGTACATCAAACTTCTCAATAAGAAACATCAAATCATAGGATCTGCAACGTGGTGTAGTTAAAAGATACCTTAAAGCCTTTTTTGCTCTCTTAAGATTTTTTAATTTCCCAAATATTACGCAGGGAATTACTTTGGCAAATATAAACTCATAGAACGACATTATATATTCGTATTCACATTTCAAATTTTGGCTGACTGCATTTTTATGACTTAAAGTCATTAGAACACTGTTATAATCAAATTTCCTATGCCTTCTTTGAAATTAACTTAAAAGATCGGAAATGAATGGTATAGATAATTCATAATTTGTTACCACATTATTCCTCATGGTTTTTTTAATAATGTAATTGTACATTTCATTCGCTATTTTTGCAGTATTCAAGATGCAGCTTGTTGAAACTGCATTAATTGAACAAGAAGAAACAATGTTAAATGTATTGAATAATTGGATTTGCAATGATAAACCAGAAAAAACAAAATTTTTGAATTCTGCACAATATATTTGCATAGCCTTTTTTTAGTTTGTTTGTGTGACCCTGAAAAGAACAATCTTATACATAAATTTGTCTTAGATCTCTACATTTGAAAAATATAATAATCTGAACTTTTTAAAATGAAACTTTCAATTTCTTTCGTTCGCTTATACTTCCTTCCTTGTAATACACAGGGGAAACAAAACTAATCAAAGTTAAAGATAAATATGAGGAAAAGATTTTTTATTTTCTATTTTATAGTGGTATACAACAAAACAGACGTGTGTTTATTAAATTGATTTATCCGCTCCGAGAGAAAGATGTTCTCGCTGCTACGTCGTCAATAATAGGACGGATCAATCTAAAAGAATCTAAAATAATATATATAATTTTAAATAAACTTTAAATACTATTATAGAGATATAAGAGACCATGGTAAATGAAAATACTACTATATGCTAATATATACTAATATGCTTAGTATATGATATACTAAACATAAGCAGTAAGCCATATCTGGTTTGCTTGCGGTTAGCTCGGCTCCGTTCAGAATGGCGGGAATAACATTTCGTCGGCACATGGTCTATTAGAGTCCACCAAATGCGCATGCGGATGAGCAGCCATATTGAATTTTAGTTCGTTCAAGTTTACAACTAGTTCAGATGGCAGTCAAAACAGTGTCCCAAAAATTTACTAAGAGCGGGCCCCTCTGATTTAGTTTAGGCTTTAGACTGTACCTAATGCGGATCTTAGACGGGAGAGAATAGACAACTCTATTATGTGGTATTACGACTTGGAGTTGCTTTCGAACATTTTCAAATTTGAACGTTAAAATCATTCAACTGTCACACATAACGTTCAAGATTCAGATTAATATAGGATGTTCTTCTCTTCACCTCCATGATTTAGCGATTAAACCGTTACTCAAGATTTTCTATTCGCATGTATCCATGTTTTCTTGAACGATACTTAACAATGTTCAAATTGATTTACACCAATAAAGTCCGCGGATGCTAACTTTACTGATGTAACTTTCTTAAACACTCCTGAACTACAAATAATGTCGATTGTATAAAGATAAAAAGCTCGTGAGTTCCTTCTTACTTTTATTCTGGAGAATATGTAAGTTCATTTTCCTTTGTCGAATCTATATATATTATAACAGTTTACAGTAGAACACTGCAAAACACGAATAAGAATTTGATTTAAAAAACTATACATACTTGTTTACGTGTGACTTAATGTACAGCAGGGGTGTCAAACTCAAAAGCTAACTTGGGCCAAATAAACAATGCTTAACTTTAGGTGGGCCGCAAAAAAAAATCAATGTTCATAGAAACAAATATTTTTGTTTTGACTAGTACATTGTAATAAACATATATAAAGTTNCGGCACATGGTCTATTAGAGTCCACCAAATGCGCATGCGGATGAGCAGCCATATTGAATTTTAGTTCGTTCAAGTTTACAACTAGTTCAGATGGCAGTCAAAACAGTGTCCCAAAAATTTACTAAGAGCGGGCCCCTCTGATTTAGTTTAGGCTTTAGACTGTACCTAATGCGGATCTTAGACGGGAGAGAATAGACAACTCTATTATGTGGTATTACGACTTGGAGTTGCTTTCGAACATTTTCAAATTTGAACGTTAAAATCATTCAACTGTCACACATAACGTTCAAGATTCAGATTAATATAGGATGTTCTTCTCTTCACCTCCATGATTTAGCGATTAAACCGTTACTCAAGATTTTCTATTCGCATGTATCCATGTTTTCTTGAACGATACTTAACAATGTTCAAATTGATTTACACCAATAAAGTCCGCGGATGCTAACTTTACTGATGTAACTTTCTTAAACACTCCTGAACTACAAATAATGTCGATTGTATAAAGATAAAAAGCTCGTGAGTTCCTTCTTACTTTTATTCTGGAGAATATGTAAGTTCATTTTCCTTTGTCGAATCTATATATATTATAACAGTTTACAGTAGAACACTGCAAAACACGAATAAGAATTTGATTTAAAAAACTATACATACTTGTTTACGTGTGACTTAATGTACAGCAGGGGTGTCAAACTCAAAAGCTAACTTGGGCCAAATAAACAATGCTTAACTTTAGGTGGGCCGCAAAAAAAAATCAATGTTCATAGAAACAAATATTTTTGTTTTGACTAGTACATTGTAATAAACATATATAAAGTTAAATTATTGTTTACGTCCTGATACTTGACATAAAAAATGTTCATCTCCCCTGATGTACAGCCTTTTTAAGTAATTTTTGACAGCATCGTTCTAACATTTTTTTAATTGCATTGTATTTTACAGATTAGTAAATAAGTTCCTTGATCAGAGTATTAACGAAACTGTATATGAGCGATCTGTAGCAAGTAAAGGTGATGTAACACAAAGGTATTAGGAACAATGCTGTCAAAAATTACTTAAAAAGGCTGTACATTAACTAACACATACCATACACTAATATAATCTTTTTAATCAATTTCTTATTCGCGTTTTACAGTGTTTTACTGTAAATTGTTATAATAGATTTGATAAAGAAAAATAAACTTACATATTCTCCAAAATAGGAGTAAAAAGAAACTCGCATGCTTTTTATCTTTATACAGTCGGCATTGCTTGTAATTCAACAAGTTACATCAATGAAGTTCGCATCCGTAGCTAACATACTATGACGTATCATTATTAGCCTGAACGATTTTGACGTTCAAATTTGAAAATGTTACAATTCCTAAGTTCGTAATGCGAAATGATAGCGATAGTCCTATTACTCTCAGCAGATGAATTGATCTTAACGCACAGTCTAGTTTATATGTATTTATCACATTATTTTATATAATAAATTTTGTGGTTTCGCATACACGTGTAATATTTAATACCACATCGGTAACATGAAGTCACATTATTCATGTTGGGTTGGGAGTTAGGATAACACTATTGTTTATATATCAATCACTAAAATGGAGAATTGTGTAATAAAAAAAAAGAATTCATTAACATAATATTGGGAATTATGTTGTAGATTTATTTATATATTTTCAAACTATACAAACTTTTTGATACATATGTTTATAAATGCATATACAAAAATAACAATTATTTATGATCATTATCATATTAATTCTTTGAGTATATTACATGTATCAAGCAGTCTGCATACTTTTTCTTCTTTTAGATTTATTACTGTCTAGTGTTTGTTTAAATGGCCTTTTTTGTGGTAAAGTAGGACTAGTTGGTTCACTTTGCGAACTTCCATTTTGAAGTGGCTCAGAGTCGTTCTGTTCATTGTGTGAAGCAAAAGCACTAAAGTTGAATGACTCAAAACCTTCAGATAATGTTTTTTCACGCAACAACCGTGATTCTTTCTTTAATAACTGCTTTTCTTTCTGTTTACCCTTATTTTTTTTCTTTTTTTTCATCTCGTTATTCGTCAATGTTGGGGTATCTGAATTACTACATGTATCACTATTTTCTTCTACATCTTCTGCATTGCTTGTTGTCTCTTTCGCTTCTCCATTTACTTTAGGACTATCTTGGTGTATACTTTTTTTCACAGACCTACGAGATGTATAATTGTATATTAATGTTGAATTATGTTTTACACTTGTTTGAATATTACTTACATATTAAATGAAATTCCAATTTGAGCAGCTAGTCTATTATACGCTGTTTTTGTATCTTTTCCAAGTGAAGCATGAGTTTTGTATGATGCAAGAGCTTTTTTTACATCTTCCCAATCCCATGCTTTAGGCACGTGTTGAATGTAGATATAACGCAACAATAATAAAAGATTATAAACATATCTTTGTTTAACTTCTTTTCCTATTTCGTTACCATTATTCAGAATAGGCTGTTTATTTTCAACTCCGTGCACATTAGATAACTCTTGAAGTGTATTTATGACATTTTTATATAATTTCTTTTCCATTTTTATTCTGGTATCAGAACGTATTGTATCTACATTAACTAAACGACGATTATGATAGAAAACTGTTAAAAAGTCAAGAGCATATCTTCGTCGAAATGATCTTATAGTAACATCAAAGGCAAAGTCCACCTAGAAAAGTAAGTTAGGATTATTTAGGGATGTACAATAAACTGTACTATAACTAGAAACGTACCAACAATGGGGCCAACTGCCAATTACCCTCCCACTGTAATTGTAATATACTTTTAAATAATATTGGTGACAACACACAATCTCTTCTTTTAAAAAAAGCTGTTAAATTTTCAGCATAAATTTCCACTATGGATGTTATAGATATATCAGCTTGCTGTGCACATCTTACAAGGAATGTACAGCATTCTGCCAATTTGTCGCTCATTTCTTGATAAACCGACGTTGTCCTTTCTCCTTTCTCTATTAATGCCTTAGAAAATAAACAATGACTAATTATATAATAATTTTGTTTTATGTATTTTTAAATTATTTTTAATTACCTTCAGTATCACTGTCACTAAATTTTCATCCACATTTTTTGTATCTTTAAATTTCTTCACAGCAGCCAATTTTTTTAAACAAGACCGAATACGATCCTGAAGAGGTCTTTGATGAGAATCTTTTATACAGTATTCCAATAACGCAAAGAGTGGAAGTATCATATCAAGTATAATTGCCATTGATGGACTACACTCTAAATATGTTTCTAATAAATCAATAACTCTAATTCTAAAATGTGTTAAAGCTTGTGCCGATTTTTCTTGTTTCTTCGATCGCGACTGGCGATTCTCTCGTAGAATTCTAAATGCTGCTGATAATGATTCATTTAATCTTTTTCCTTCGTCATCGTCGATTTTGTCCACGTCAATGTCTTCATCATCAGTTTGAACAAAAGCTTCACCTAATGCTTGCCGTACCGCCATTCGTAGTCGATCAGTGACAGTATCATCTTCATCTTCGTCAATTGATTCTTCATTAGAATCGGAATCGTTATTATCTGTCGAATATTGCACTGTGTTATCAGAAAGTTCTTCATCTACTTCACTATCATCTTCACTATCATCATCTGATCGTGAGTCCATTGAGTCTTCTTCATTTGCTTCCCCTTCTGTTACAAGAGGTCCTTTTCCACTTCTTATGTCCAGAACCTAAAAATGAAAAATTTGAAATGTAATATTATCTATTGTTCCAAATGAAATTACATCTACATACTGCTAAAATTTGATGTATAGCTGCTGGTGTTACATGTGGACAAATGTGTGGAAAAACACATCCCACTAAAGATCGCAGTAAATGATCGTTTTTAGAATAAAAAGACAGTAGTAAATCAACTACTACTTCCACCCATTCTGGTTCATCTTCTTCTTTTTTGTTGATTCTGACTTTATTTTTTTTAGATTTTTTAACCAATCTTTCATAACAACTTTGAAGTTCATTAATAGCCATGATTGCCATATGTGGGTCTGAAAATAATTGTAATCCCATATGTAAATTCATTGTATGAAATACTGGTACAGCCTCTGCCTTTTTCGTGTTATTCTCTAACTTCTCAATTGAATTTATCACTTTCTGCCAGGCTGTTTTGGCTTCATCCGACAACGGATTTCTTAGCTTCAGAGTTTCATTTCTGAAGCGAGTATCTAAATAATGAACTAAGTCACTTAATATATTTCGAAGACTACTTAATTTTGGTAATTTGTGATCCAATGCATGGTAAAATGCTTCTTTAAGTTGTACTGAAAATAAAAAATAACACAGTAATAAGAAAAAGTATGCACAAATTTCTATGTGTAAGATTATTATACTCACATGCCAAATCTACTCCAACATTCGTCATTTCACATAACCCTTGAGTAAATAAGAATTTTAATTGCTCTAATCTCCATTCTTGATCCATTAGAGTTACTGAATATCCCATTAATCTATAGAAATGTAATCAATTTGTTCTATATCTTTAATTGCACTTAAAGTAAAATTTAATTCAAATTATCTTTTTAAATAATCAAATACCTTGTTAATAAGTGAGCAGCATAGATTCTTTCAGTGTTTGTCCAGAATGTTTTTGTTTTTGTACCTAGCATTTCTTTGGGTATCATATTCTCAATAATATCTTTATATATTTTTGATACTTTTTTAATACCTTCTAAATTCAAATTTCCTGTAATCATTTGAACTACCTTTGTACCAGTTTTCTTTTCTATCATTAAGTCACCAGGATACAATATCAACTTCTTTAATACAGCAATCTGTGTTTTTAGCTTAGTATCACTGCTGGCTGTAGCTGATACCAGTAAATGTAAAATTTCCTTAAATGCAACGAGTACTTCATCTTTATCATGTTTTTTATTTCCATAAAACCTTTTTAGCATATGTTGCATATAGTTTGTAGATAGTAATGACGGAAGTATAGATTTATCTGTACTACTTGATAATATTAATTTAAGAATTTCTATGGCCAAATGTTCATCAATTCTTGAAGGTTTTGTAAACTTCTGATCTATATACATCCAAAATTCAGTAATAAGATCACCTGATGATAAATTCTCGCAAAATAATTTGAATACTGGATGATGACACAGTACAACTTTAGGTAAATCCTAAAAATTAATAATGCAATAGATTTCTTATAAAAAGTATTTATTATAAAAATGAAAATGTATTATTTGTCTAATGATCACTTACCAGTAATATTTTTACCATATCAGTCATAGATTCTTTGGTAACATCTCCAGTACCAAAATGTTCCTTCCAAAATGTCATGTTTGCAATTAATGGAAATTTGTCTTTTATTACTAGTAAAGCATAAATTGTATCTAAAGTTTGTTCTGACCAAGGCTTACCAAATTCTGTTTCAACAATTGGACAGACTAATTTTTCAATTTTCTTTGTATCAATTTGATGGATAAACTCGATAAAAAATGAAATAGAAGGGAATGATAGATAACTACGTTGCCTGCCCCCTTTAATGAGATCTTCTATAATTTGCTTTTGCGTTTCTATTGAACTTTTCAAAAGTATTTTAGATCTTATTAATGCTCCATATACTAGTATACGTCCCATATAAATGTCAGCATTTTCCTGTAATAATATTTGTTACAAATATATAACATGATAGCGAACACATAGAACATTTGATAATGTATGTAATAATTAATGGTATACTTACACCTTTATTGTTACTGTTTACTGGATGCAATTCACTATCTACTATAGATATTATTTCCTCTATTGACATTTCAGGATGCGTTGTTAAAAAAACTGTCAAAGTTGTATAAAAACCGATCCTTGAAGAGGTTTTTGATGCACCTAAACCTCGAATTAGTCTCCTTATTGCATATTTAAACTCTTTACTGTCACTTTGGTTCTAAAAGATTATTAATTGTAGACAATTCATTTGTATGAAAAGACTCTAAACATATTTCGCGCTTTTAAAAAACGAGTGATTTGAGGTTAGTTTAAATAAACACTTACTGCACTTTGTCCAAGTAAATATTTTAGTAGTTCAATACCACCATTTATTCTATCGTGTTCAGTTTCATTTCTGAGTTTCGTAAAATGATCAAGAATCGTACAATCCATTTTATTCTTTTCCTTTACTCTTAAGGCATTTGAAACAACCTCTACCATGTGCATTCCCTCGTCTGCCATCTTGCTTCGCTTAACTAAAAACTACGTTAATCTTAAGATCACCTACATACTACATTAAATGTATGCACATAATGTACGTACAATTTGTACATAATATACAAAAATTACAATATGTAATATATTAGTAATATTTTAATTATAATTATTTAAGTGAAGCAAATAATAAATAAAATATAAAATCAAAATTGAATGTTTCATGTTTACGTAGCATAGACTGTCAACTGTTTTCTTAAAAACTCTTATTTTGGAGAAACACTTTCGAAATACAACATATACTGTCAGTGGAAAATTTTAGTAAATAATACTGAACAGTACTATATATGTACAAAAGCATATTTTTTAACAAAGCATTACCAAAACTTGGTCTTCTAAATTTATATTTTAAATAGTTATAAGTATTTTGTTCTACCAAATATAATTTTTAATTCTTTGATATATTATTATCTGTATTTATCAATTAAAATGTGTGAATAGATTTTCACAATTTTATGATTGAAAATTCTTTAATGGTTAGGAAAGTGCCATCTTGAATATAGTAACTCGTTCGACCCGCGCGGTCCCGGTCAGTTTCGTGCATCCAATATGGCTGGTCGAGGTGGTTACGAAGATTCAAGGCAAGTATAGACTGCAATTTCTTTCGTGTACAATAATCATTTCAGTTTTTTTAAAACAGTGTAACGATAGCAATATAGTCAGTGCACCAAACTGGTGAAAGAACACGTCCTTTCTTCGACAATCTTGCGATTTTAAGGTTAAATGAGTTTCGATTAGAGAGGAGCGCAGCACTTTGCAGATATGGTGCTTTCGACACGCGGCTTTATTTTGGCCGGCCAAACATTGATGTATCATGCTCGTAACACTATTAACAATAGTGTTATTTATCTGTTCGTGCTACTAATCTTATATACCTATCCGAAAATATTATTTTTCGTAATGTGGAGATATAATTGAGAGTACATTATTTTTTGAAATTTATGCTTATGAAATTGATATTAATTTAATGCTGTAATTGCAGCTTTTTTAACTTTATTATAATAAGAAATTTACATTTCTAAATACAAGAATTATTTCTCTTTAAGCGTATTGGATTATTTGAGTTTATTATTATGTTCAAAGCATTTAATGTCACTATTTTTATGTTACAAAATATTTTATTGAAAATATACATATGTATATACATGTATACATATATATAATATATATATATATATAGATGTGTGTGTGTGCGTAGGTATGCATGTATGTATTTGTATATATAGTATATATATTATATTCATATACAATTTACTGAACAAATTGGTTTCAATAATACCTTTTTTATACGTTTAAGTGAATGAGTGTTTTGTTTTTTTACAGAGATTATGGTGGTGGATATCGCAGAAATGGAAAACCATTGCCAACTGAACCACCTTATACTGCGTTTGTGGGAAATTTGCCAAATGGAGTTGTTCAAGGAGATGTGGATAAAATCTTTAATGAACTTAATGTTAAAGGAATCAGATTGGTTAAAGATAAAGAAACTGATAGGTTTGTATATTATGAGTTACATCAGATATGACAAGATTATAGTTGTGATATCACTAATGTTTATCTTGTTTTTTCTGCAGGTTTAAGGGCTTTTGTTATGTCGAGTTTGAAGATTTAAAAGATTTAAAAGCTGCATTAGAAAAAGATGGTGCAGTAGAAATTGATGGTAGTGTCATTAAAATAGATGTAGCAGAGGGTAAAAGAAATGATCGTGGAAGTGGTTTTGATAGAAGAAATCGTACTGGAGGCACTACTGGAGGTGGTTTTAGAGGAAGAGATAGTGGTCGTAGTGGATATGGTGATGATTATGGTAATAAATGTTTACGTTCATATATTTCTTTGTACCGTATGTTTAATATTTAAATTAATTTATTTACAACAATTGTGTTATTGTTTATAATATACTAATATGTGGAGGATTCTGTATATAAAATTTCTCCTTTATGCTTTGTGGATTAATGTTAAATCATTTTAAACTATTTTAATTATAATATACAGGAGGTTACAGTGATAGAGGTCAACATGGTGGTCGACAGAGTAATTCTTGGGACATGAGAGGTAGTCGAGGCAGTACCAACAGTCAGTTTAATGATGACACAAGTGGAGGAAGTCGAGATTGGCCTCGAGGTGGTGTGCCACCACCTAGTGGATATGGCACCAGGCCACCCACTCGTGTAAGAGGAACTGAGCGAAAACCATTTCCTGATGAAATGTATAATAAAGATCCACCTCCAGGTTAGCTAATTCTCTTCATTTTGTTTCCTAATTATTTGATAGGGCTTAATAATTATTAATATCTTTCTAAATATAGACACAACTGGAAGAAAACGTTTGGTGTTAGCACCAAGGACAATTCAAACACCTGTCAATGCAGTTGCTGAATCAAGTAAATCAAGTTCAATATATGGTGGTGCAAAACCTCGAGAAGAGAAACTTAAAACTTATGACAAGTAAAAATATTATTATGTTTAATAGTTTCTGATCCCTTAATTAGAGGGGATGGAACTTCCCTAACAAAGATTTGGAAACCAATGCGAGATTTTTTAGTTTCCTCACAGACAATGGGAAGAATCTCTTCAAAGCTGAAATAATGAAATTATGATCATTTTTATTTACCCCTTATGGGGTGTGTCTTCCCCCAAAATTCGTAACGACAAAAGGTGATTTGATGAAACTCTCAGTTTCTACGCATTTGACACTTTTAATTATGAATAAAATTTTCTTGTCTAATGCCCTCTCTATTTACATTAACTTCTTAGTTAAAACGAAATGTAATAGTAAATTGGGAATTCGAAGTAAACACTGTGTGCACAATGCATGCTTCAATAGTGTTGGTATTTATATATATATATAAATATTATATATAAATAAGTATATATATATGTAAATCATAATTGTTGAGATGACACAAGTTTTGTATCAATTTGTAATAATACTGAGGGTATATGTACAAACTATTAAAAATATATACTGTCATTGCATGTGTATTTGATCCCGTGCAAAGCCGTATTTTCAAA